TACCTGTGACTCTCCTTTCACAGAACCATGCACCTGAACTCCAAGGTCCCGCTGTTCCATTACACTGCTTAAGATCCTACCATTCACCATGAAATTCCTACCTTGATTTGACTTTTCAAAATGCAACACCTCACACCTATCTATATTAAACTCCATTTGCCATTTCTCAACTCACTTCCCCAGCTGATCAAGATCCTGCTTCAATTCCTCACTGTCCACAATACCGCCTATTTTAGTGTCATCCGCAAACTTACTATTCATGCCTTGTGCATTCCCATCCAAATCATTGATATAAATAAGAAACAGCAATGGGCCCAGCACTGACCCCTGAGGCATTCCACTAGTCACAGGCCTCCAGTTCAACAAGCATCCTTCCACTGTTTCTTTCTGCTGCCTACCATCAAGCCAATTGTGTATCCAATTTGCCAGATCTCCCTGTATTCCATGCAATCTAACTTTCCAAAGCAGACTACCATGTGGAACCTTATCAAAGGCCTTACTGAAATCCGTATAGACTGTCTACTGCCCTGCCCTCATCAACCTTCCTGGTCACTTCATTAAAGAACTCTAACAGATTTATGAGGAATGATCTCCCGTGCACAAAGTCATACTGACTACTCTTAATCAAACCCTGTCTTTCCAAATGCATGTATATCTTATCCTCAGAAACCTCTCAAGTACCACAGATATTAGGCTTACTGGTCCACAATTCCCAGGTTTTTCTTTGCAGCCCTTCTTGAATAGGGGCATAACATTTGCTACACTCCAGTCTTCCGGGACCATACCTGTGGCTAACGATGATGCAAATATATCAGCCAGGACCCCCGCAATTTCTTCTCTATCCTCTTGCAGGGTTCTTGGATATAGAGTGTTTCTTCATCCTCCAAAAGAGACACCAAATGCAGTGGGGACACGCTGGAAATTAAACTGTTTTTGATTTGATTTATTGTCATTATGTGTACCTAAGTACAGTGAAAGGTTTTGTTTGCTAGTAGTGCAGGCAGATCATAGCAAACGAGGTCATACAGATCATCGAGTGCTTAGATAGAGCGAGACAAACAAGGTCACACTGCACATGAGGTGCGCAAAGCAAGATCAAAATTACCAAGATCAAAATTATTTGAAGTTAGAGAGTCATTCAACAGTCTAGCAATGACAGAGAAAAAGCTATTTTTGAACCTGCAGGACCGTGTGTTCAAGTTTCTATATCTTCTGCCTGATGGAAGAGGATGTAGGAGAATACTACTGGTGTGTGTGTGTATGTTGGGGGCTGGGGAGAGGGGGGGTCTTTGACAATGTTGGCAGCCTTTCCACGGCAATGAGAAGTGTGAATGGAGTCCACGGACGGAAGGTTGGCTTCTGTGAAGGTCTGGGCTACCTTCTGTAGTTTCTTATGGCCCTGGGCAGAGCAGTTGCCATACCAGGCTATTATGCACCCGGACAGTATGCTTTCAGTGGGGCATCTGTAGAGGTTGGTGAAGGACCTTTCGGACATGCCAAATTTCCTGAGCTGCCTGAGGAAGAAGAGGCATTATTGTGCCTTCTTGACTGTCGCATCTACGTAGGAAATCCAGGACAGATCGTCGGTTATTGTCATTCTGAGGAACTTGGTGCTCTCCACCTCAGCTCCGGTGGTGTAGATGGGTGCATGTCTTATGTGGCCTAAATGTGTATGTAGCCTGAATGTTGATTCTAGAGTTTGGTACTTCTCAGTAAATCCAGTCTTATTAAAATTGGGCTGTCTTGAATTAAAAACAAACCCTACTGGGACCATGAGACAGCTTTCAGGCATCTTTATGATGCATGTAGATTAGTTCTGTTTTTGTCAGGCGGCAACAAAGAATTTGAAAAATAAATGGACTTAAAATATAATTCAAAATTGGATTAGAAATCAGAGAATGGATCAAACATCTGTAATCTTCTTTCAGAAATGTTAGTCCCACGGTCTGACAAAAAAAGATACAGCAGTTTCCAAAACTTAACTGGAGTAATTCACCATTAGATTGCCTAGGCAGCCAAAAAAGGCCATTTGGCAGTTTCGAAGTATTATATTTGAGTACTGCCAGGAAAAAACCCAAGGCTGAAGGTATTGCTGGGGAGAACAAAACATTGAAAAATTTAAAATGGAACATTGTGTTTTGAAATTTCCATCACTGGGAGATGCTAAGGTGCTTTCAGCGATGTAGTTGGAAAAACCAGCTGGCAGAGGATACCTGGAACTTTAATGTGCAAAAGAAGAGAAAATAATGTCATTTTGTTGATTGTTCAGTTTGATTATTTTATTATTTCTGCATATATTTGTATGTATAGTATATAATCTGATTTTATTTTTGGTTTAAATCAAAAGGAATTTATCATCAAAGTTCTGGAGCAATGCCTGAAATCAAATGGAACAAAGGAGCAAGTGATGGATATATTTAAAAGTGAATTGGGTGTGCATTGGCTGTTTAAATATAGGAAGCTAATTATCAGTTGAACTGGAGTTTAATGGAGTGTGGTCCAATAAATAAATGGAGTTTGATTTATTCTTGTCACATATACTGAGAAACAGTGAAAAGTGTTGTTTGTGTGTTCCACAGGCAGATTGTACCATACAAAGTGCATCAGAGTAGCAGAACAGAGTGCCGAAGACAGTATTACAGCCACAGAGAAGGTGCAGAGAGAGAGATCAACATTAACATTTGAGAGGTCCGTTCAAAAATCTGATTACAGCAGAGAAGAAGCTGTTCTTGAATCTTTTGGTACGAGTATTCAAACATGTGTACTTTCTGCCAGACGGAAGAGGGTGGAAGTGAGTATATCCAGGGTGGGAGGGGTCGTTGATTGTGTTGGTTGCTTTCCTGAGGCAGTGGGAAGTGTAGATGGAGTCGATGGATGGAAGGCTGGTTTTCGTGATGGACTGGGCTATGTTCACAACTCTCTGTAATTTCTTGCAATCTTGGAAAGAGCAGTTGCCAAACGAAGCTGTGATGCATCCAGATAGGATGCTTTTTATGATGCATTTATAAAAATTGGTAAGAATCCTGTGGACATGCCAAATTTCCTTAAACTTGTAAAGCTGTGTTTAAAACAGCTACCTTCTGGTCTATAACATTGGATCATGAGAAACTCCCTCAGAAATGATGAAAGTCGATTAGAATTCATTACGCACTCCCTTCAGAAAATTACATTATTTTCACAAAGTTCACATAGTAACTAATCTCACGTGGTTCTAAAAAGTAAGCTTGTTAGGAAGATTAGTTTCTAACAAAATGCTGAGGCTCATTGTCTTTCCTTTTCCATGCTGGTCCCAAGATTGCAATGGTCTTAAAATGTGGTCGATAGTTTTACCATCTGTTGGCAATGAAGGCATCTCCATTTTGAAACAGGCACACCTTTGGTTACTTCAGAGTGTCTGTTTCAATTTTAAACTCCCCTTAAATGACCTCAATCTGAGAGTGCATTTGGGTCTCTGATTGCCGTGATTTGATTAAATTAGTCAGAGTTTGCACAATGTAAATTCTGCAGGCAATGAAACCAAAGAACCGCATTATACTTCAGGCCTGGATTACTTTTATAGGTCCTGGAGGAGTAGTAGATTTCAAGAGGCCTTATAGGCAATTTATGATGTCTGTATTAAAAATGTAAGTTTGTAAAATAAAACTAACTTGAAAGTGGGATCAGGGAGAGCACGTCTGTCTCTCCGGACCCTAATTTAAACGATGCAAGCCACTGTCAGTTCCTGCCCATGAATCTCAACACACACAACCACAACAAACTTAGATTGCAACCTCCAACTCCAGATCATGACTTTGATCCTTCCTGCTTTCCACTACTACAGCCTTCAGTCCCTGATCCATCACCCTCCACAACACTGACTAGTGCACCAACTTTTCTCACAAGTTCCCCATCTCCATGAATCTAATAAGGACTGACCCAATAGCTGCTGTTGGAAATGGATCAGCTCAATCTGTGAGGCTTTTCACCACAATCTGTTTAAGATTGGCCTTCAGCTGTCGAGAACTGCCTCCTTTAATAATTCTTTTGCCCATTCAGTTCAGATATTTACTAGCCAGCAGAACAAGCAGAGTTCTGTTTGTTACTCCTAAAGCCTAACACTGAAATCACTCTTTTTAAAATTATTCATTGACGAGATGCAGTCAGCACATCCCTTAACCTGGAGGTGGTAGTACTAGGTCACCTAAAAGTCATCCACATTGCTGTGCATCAAAGTTTATATCCAGACTGAGTACCAGCAGCAGATATCCTTCCCTAATGGATATGTATGTGTGGGAGAATTGTCTACTTGAATACACAGTTTCAGAACCTGTAAATAGAAAGTTATCAGATTACATAAGACACAAAGTTATGTTCTGTCACATATGTACCTGATGACAATATTGTGTACATTGCATTGGAAAAGTATCCTGCTAGCCAAAGTTATTAAGTCTAACTTAGTAATACTGCAATTCTAACCTAACTATTTTAAAATGTATTAGCTTAACTTATCAAGTAGAAGAATAAAGCGTATGTAACTCAACTGCTGACATATATAAGTAGCTTCTAGATTTTATTTTTACTCATTCACAGGATGAGAGCATCACTAGCATGGCCAACATTTACTGCCCATCCCTAATTGCCCAGACGGCAGTTAAGAGTCAACCACATTACACCGTAGTGACTGGTGTCTGGAGTGACAATGGATTAAATGGTCATCATTAGACTCTTAATTCCAGAGACTTTTTTTTAAATTGAATTCATATTCCACAATCTGCCATGGTGGGATTCAAACCCAGGAACCCAGAACATTACCTGGGTCTCTGGATTAACAGTCCAGCGATAATACCACGAGGCCATCACCTCCCCAAAATACTGAATTAAACTGAAGTATAGGATAGGCTCTTGTGAAATGCAGAAAACATGGATGTACATTATGGAATTACTGGCTTATTCTGATTCAGATAACATTATAGGTTCTATCCATTATAGATTCCACACAGACAGCAGGAGTTAGAACTTACCTTAAATTCCTTCTCAATATTGGCTAGCACATTAAGCTCATTACTCAGCTCAAGAGCAGTAAGTACTGGGTCCTCACTGGAGAGTGACAAATAAGCAGGACTTGCCAAGCCTCTGTAAGCATTGATTCGAGATCTGGAGTGGCTGAAAGAGTCATTTAGCTGATTGTCTGTACACACCTTGCATTTGCAAAAATAGTTATGGGGTCGGTCAATCCGGGCTCCTCTTCTCAGTAAGATGTGAACTATTTCATATTCCTGGCAATGAGCTGCCAGGATGATTGGAGTAATATCATGGGAAAACCTTGTGCCATCTTCATCATAGGCATAAAAATCATTGTATTTTGGGTTTTTTTGCTCTGGACTCAGAGCTAGTGGGTGCATTGTAGCAAACAGATGGTGATTCAAGATGGCTTCCACTATTCGCACGTAGCCTTTACTGATGGCCAATAATAAACCATCTCCAACACGAGCCAGATTGTCAATCTTTAGCAGAAGCTCTATGACTTCCAAATGCTCATTAGCAACAGACAGCTGCAATGCATTCTGACCCATGTAATCAACACAATTCACATTCAGAGATTCGGATTCCTCCAGCATCTTTCTGACCACAGGAACATTGCCATATTCAGCTGCATCTAAAAACCTTTCTTCTTCAGGAGTTAGGTTGGTTAATCTGTCATTAAACATGTAAGCTGGTCCCCGGAATGCCTGTCTCCGTCCTTTCTGCACAGTTTGCCTTCGTGGCCTATCCCCACCAAAAGGACTGCTAAATATAAGAGAAGATATTTTAGAGCAGAAATACATTTAGCTTCATGTTCATTCAGCATTTCTAATTCATGAAAAAGATTGAAATTCTACAATTAGCTCATATTTCTGTATAACATTTAATAAAAACACAAGGTGAAACAGATTGTTGGTTCATTAACAAAGTTTGTCAAAACTACTATCAATGAACAACTACAATACTTTGCATTATTTTTATTCAAACTTGACTCTTTGGTCTGTTTTTCACATTAAAAAGTGCTTTTATTAAGTATTTTTGTGAACAATTTCAGAAGATGTGGAAAATTAGGCATGACAAATGATCTAATTTCGATCCAGTTCTGAATTCATGTAGGATAAAGTTTTGCATTAATTTACTAAAGAAACCAACGAACCTGCAGAATGGATAGCCTGAGGAGATGCCTGGAGAGGGCACCATAGACCAAGACTTAAAATATCAAAATCGAGTATGACATCAGTGAGACATGGGCAGGCACACACTGAACTTATTCTGCCCCTTCTGAGCTGGTTGTTGGGACACAGACACTAACTGAAAGGGTTTTCTTTATTTGTTTGGGGAAGGGGTTAAGCAGGAGTGTGCCACAAGTCAGCATCTGCCTCGTGAGATGGGAGAAAACACCATCAGCTACTTTTTTTCTGTTTGAAAGGCCAGAAAAGCTAATCAATACTATTAGATTTTCAATGGCTGCAAATTTCCCTAAAGAACTGTTTTCATCTGCAATCCATTTAGCCTGATGCTGCTGAGTCCTTTCCCATAAAACAGGCAGGACCTCCCATGGGTACTGGATATTTTCTAAACCACCTGTTTTCTTTGTCCCAAAACCTGTTCTGAAACTCTGCACTCAAATACGCACATCTGGAGTAGGTGGGACCTGAACTTGGGCCTCCTGGCTCAAAGATAGGGACATTACCACTGCACCACAAGCACCTGTCTTACTAGGACTAGTGAGTGATTGGTCATTCTGATCAGCTGCCTAAAGTCCACTCGTGCTAAAGCATGAGAGGAAATTCTTCCCATAAAAAATATTCAACAGCATTCCTTAAAACTATCTTGCCAGGCAGAAAAATGTCTTGCAAACCATTTATTACCTTTTAAAAAAAGCAGTATTTTGGAATCACTTTGTTATATGGTATAAACCTACCCTGAATTATAGTTTTTTTTTAATTTTGCATAAACACTGTCACAAAAAGCTAGCACCAACAGTTAATTATTATTTCAGTGCAATGAATAAATTAAAATGCTGCCAACTTTCATTCTAAGTTCTGTTTGATTTTGTCAGTGTGCATATCCCACTATTTTGCTGATCTGGCCAATTGTTCTCACGGCATGTGACAACGTAAAGGGGAGGAGAGATTCAAACTGATTCCTGACAGTCAGCTGTAGGTTGATGGCCTTTCATCTTTTAAAAAGTAAATGCATCAAATGTTCATGCTCAATAACAAACAAAAAGATTTTATGGCAAAGATAATAACAACCAGAAATCATGGTTGATTGGTCGTTTAACGAGAAATTAAACAAAGGCTGCATCTGGCTTCTCAGGAGGAGCAGAGGGTTTCTCCCAGCTGTGTCAGTTCATGTCTACCCCTCACACTACATCAGTGAAAAATGGAAAGGCTGGTCATTCTCATCTGGCTGTTCAGGAACTTGCAGTGTTCTCATTGGCTGTCATTCTTAAAAATACAACCAAAGTGCTCCATTGGCTGTAAAGTACTTTGGAACATGAAGGCACCATTTAAATGCAATTAAACAAAGAACTGCAGACACTGGAAATCTGAAACAAAAACAAATTGCCGGAGAATCTCAGCAGGTCTGGCAGCATCTGTGGAGAGAGAAACACAGTTAACGTTTTGAGTCAAGTGACCCTTATTCAGGTCTGAAGGTTTAAGCGCAATTTATTCTTTGTTTAAAACCCATATTCATCTTAAAACCAAATGTTAAAGGAGAAACAATGCAGATTAATACAACTTTACCAAAAACCTGCTGTATGAAGACGTGTGTGTTTGGACTGAATATTGCATGATATTATCAAGCAGATTTGGGCAACGTTACAGAGTTGGAAATGGGTGGTTTCAGTTATGATACAAATATTGTTGGTTGCTCATCCTGGGGTCAAAAAGACACAGGGGGCAGAAATTTTCAGTCTTGAGCTGGACAGGGGAGGACAGGATCTGAGATAAAAATATCTGCTGACCCACTTTTTGGAAATCCCACCTTCGTTTCCCACCCCTCCCACTTTCCCCAAGAGGATGGGTGAAAATTAACCACAAACAAGCCTGGTCCCATTTGAAATCTAATTTAAACTATTATAGGCTCATTATAAAATCTCATCTCCAATACATTTGTACATTTCCAGAAATACGGCCATAGTTCAGTCGCTGCTTGTTATCAGACCAGCTGCATGAAGAACTGTGTACATGGAGGGACAAATAATTTAAATAAAAAGTTTACTTGTGGCTTACTGCCACGCTAGTATCATCCATATATGGTAATTTTGTTAAATGCAGCACTAAACTATAGAGTGTGGGGTTAAAATTGATTTAGAGATAGTGGGAACTGCCAATGCTGGAGAATCTGAGATAACAATGTGTTGAGCTGGATGAACACAGCAGGCCAAGCAGCATCAGAGGAGCAGGAAAGCTGACGTTTCGGGCCTAGACCCTTCATCAGAAAAATTTTTTTTTTTGAAAATTCTTTTTTTTTTGAATAAAGATTTTTTTTCTGAAGAAGGGTCCAGACCCAAAACATCAACTTTCCTGCTCCTCTGATGCTGCTTGGCCTGATGTGTTCATCCAGCTCTACACCTTGTTATCTCTCAAACTATAGAGTGTTCAATTTTTGAGAGATGTTAGTTGATTAAGATGATTAAATTTTAGAAGCTGTATTTCTATCCAATGAAAGTTTATTGGAGAACTATGTTTTATATATTTATGCTCCAAAACAGAAAACCACATTTTTGTTTAGGAGCAATACTTTATTTTAGAGATTCCTCAAATCTCTCCTCCATTTCTTACTCCCTCAAAGTGAGAACTGGCCTTTGTTTCCGACATTCCAGAATGCAGTGATACAGGGATCGTTATAGAGCAGCTCTAACTCTAGACACATATAGCTCTTAAAAAATTAATAGTCTCAATGTTTGACTGTCTTTAGTGACTGGTGCCTGGGCTGGGTGGATCTTATTGACTATGCATTCCCTGATTGGGGCTGTTAACTTGGGCCAATCATGGGAGCCCTGGCTGACAGATATAAACGGGAGATTCAGAGAGTCTACTCTAGTCCTGGGACTGGCATGAGGAGCTATGGTGGCAGGTGCAATGTGGGGAAGGTTAAAGGACTTAGCAGCTTCTGAAGTGACTGAGATGAAGCTGTAAAGTTCGAAGGTGGGTGTTCTAAGCAGCCTGCCTCAACACTGATCTATCCCACTGCAGACACACCTGTCCTGTCCTGCTTTCACAATCACTGAGTCCAACAATATCCCACAACCACTTTCGAAAGCAAAGATCGGTGGGATTCTGGGTACTTTTATAACCAGGTCACATTTGGAGATGAGCCACCTGCCTCAGTGGTAAAAATCCATCCATCCATGCAACAATTCTGAAAAACAACCTCTCAATGTCACGGTTTCAAATTATCATTCTCCTTTTATTGCACTTAGTTATCAATAACTGAGTAGTTTAAAAATGTATTTTCTGCATCTAGATCTCAAAAAATTACACATGGTTTAAATGTGTGGCTCTACGACCGACACTGCCTTCAGTGATACATTTCCACTTCAAGTAAAATATAGACATTCCATACTTTGAATCAAACTACTATCAATTTCTCCTCACTTCATATTCACATTCAATTATGATTGAATGAGGTTCTCAAATTTAAAAATGTACAATCAATCTCCTGAGAGATTAAGGTATTACCATGCTTCATTTGTGGTATTGAATTAATTAGGATGAAGTTTCTGCAGCAAAAATAAATAATTTTCAAATTCATTTGTGTAATTTTACATGATTCTGTAATGGATTCCAGTAGAGATACCAAAGGACACAGAGCCAAAGGTATGAGAGCATTAATCATGTATGTGTTAATCAATACCATCTTCTTTTTATCTGTGAATGCAGGGACTGTTCAATGGTACCTAATACATGGCACAACATTTCATAAGTGAAAGTACCTTAATCATTTTTAAATTACAATTTTTATGAATGGCAGATTTTACAACAGTATTCTGCTTTAAATTGTCTGTTTAATTTTAGGAAAATAGAATACAGAAGGTCCCTCTGACTTATATCAAATTATGTTTATTATAAAGAGGACAGGTTCAAGTCAACACAGTTTATGACCAAGGTGTGAAGTTGTCAATGGCAAGGGAAAAGAGTGAAAAATAATAGTTGAAATAACTCCACAGAAAGCCAGTATTCCATCACCTAGTCACCTTTTATCCACAGGAACAGTCCTTACTTTTAGTATTGCCTCATTCAGAGTGAGCTACCAGAGTGTCAGCATCACTGACACTCCCCCTTTTTTATGTCAGCCAGGGCTCCCTGTTTGGACCAAATTAACAGACCCAATCAGGGAACTCATGCTTTCTGAGGTTCAGCTGGCTGACCTCATTATAGTCCCTACATCCCTCCCTCCAAAGGTGGCCGAACAAATGTCTTGTACAGCTACAATATGTCCTCCCAACTCCGACACTCAATGCACTGATCAATAAAGGCAAGCATACCAAACGCTGCCTTCACTATCCTGCCTACCTGGAAATTCACTTTCAAGGAATTATGGACCTGCACTCCAAGGTCTCTTTGTTCAGTAACACTCTCCAGGACCTTACTATTAAGTGTATAAGTTCTGCATTGTTTTGCCTTTCCAGAATGCAGCACCTCACATTTAACTAAATTAAAATCCATGTGCCACTCCTCGGTCCATTGGCCCAGCTGATCAAAGTCCCATTGTACTCTGAGGTAACCTTCTTCACTGTCCACTACACCTCC